TTAAATCATATCACACAGGTATTTGCATATCTCCAAGGATAATTTTTGGTCCGCCTAGAGATCTTGGTGTGGAAATTCTCTTGATACAAGCTAATGTCAATCAACCAATCAACAAGCTTACATTAAGAACCTATCACTGCATGCCAAGCAGTGTGCTAGGTTATGGGTATACAAGGACAGAAATGAATCCCTCTTTGCCCAGAAGAAGCTTACATTAGTAGTTGTTTAGTCATTTTTAAGTCGTGTCTGACTCTTCAGGACCCCTTTGGAAGTTTTCTTGGCAAAGATACTGCAGTGGTTTGCCATTTCCTTCTCCAGCTCATTTTAGAGATGAGGAAATTGAGGCAAACTGGGTGGAGTGACTGCCCAGGGTTACACAGAGTGTCTGAAGCTGGATTTGAATTCAGGTCTTCCTTACTCCCAGCCCTGCACTCTATCCAGTGCGCCACCTAGCTGCCCTCGCTTTAGTAACAGATAAATTCTAAATGGTTGACTGAGGCAAATAGGTAAAAGGTGACTTTACAAAGGGCACTCATATATCACACTCCCTTTGGTGATTGTATATACCACATCTCAGTATGATATGATACCCAGTCCATCCGTGAACAAAAGAATAAAATCTTACAAAAAAGCAGAGTAGTAAGGAGCCTCAGAGGTCATCTTTCCAACAGCCTTGATTTTACAAATGAGACACTTGAAATCCTAAGCAGGGAAAGTGATTTGTTTAAGGTCACACCACAGCTAGGAAGTAGTGAACTGGAATTTCGATTCAATAATCATCTGTTGAGTACCTACTACTCAGAAGAAACTGATTTGAACTGAAGTAGATGACCAGGCTAGACTTCCCTTTTTGGAAAGATCTTGCCCCTTCACTGGGTTCTCTAATTAATTAAATTAACAGATATTGATGGAGATGTCCTGCAGGCATCTCAAACTTAACACATTTCCAAAAGAGCTCATCTTCTCTACCTCACCCCTAACCCCTCAGATCCTCAAAAACTTTTCTATTTCTGTTGAGAGCACCAACTATACTTCTAGTCATCCAGGTATACTACCTCAAGTCATCCTCAACTTTCCCTCACTGTCCCTCATCCCACATCCATTGCCAATTTTGTTGATATTGCCGCCATAACATCCCTGCATCTCTCCCCTTCTCTCCACTCAGACAGCCAGTAAGACTCCCCTAATTGGTTTCCCTGCCTCAAGCCTCTGCCCTCTCCAATCTATCTTCCACATAGTGCCAAAGTGATATTACTAAAGCACAGATCTGATTGTCTCACTGCCCTGCTCAGTGAAATCCAGTGGCTTCCTTTAAATTACCTCCAATATCCAATGCAAACTCCTCTATCCGACATTTAAAATCCTTCACAACCTGCATCCAACCCTTCTCCCCTGCCTTTATTCACACACTCTTCTGTTGATTCAAGCTGCTCTTGCTTTTCTTCATATCCTGTATCAATGTCTTTGAATAAGTGTCCCCTATAACTGGAATGCACTTCCTCTTCACTCCCACCTCTTAGAATTCTTAGTTCAAATCTCAGCTCAAACACCATCTCCTAAGTGAGGCAATTCCTGACCCCCTCAGTTGCTAAGTGCCTCCCCACAAGAAAATTACTTAGTATTTAACTAGGTGGCACAATGGAGAGAGTGCCAGACCTAGAATCAGGAAGACTGACCTTGCTGAATTCAAATGTGGCCTCAGACACTTGCCAGCTGTGTGACCCTGGGCAAGCTATTTCACTGTATTTGCCTCAGTTTCCTCATCTGAGAAATGAGCTGGAGAAGGAAACAGCAAACCGCTCCTGTATCTTTGCCAAGAAAACCCCAGATGGGGTCATGGAGTCGGACATGACTGAAACAGCTGAACAACAACAACCCAATGCCTAGCATGGCGTTTGGCACGTAGTAAGTTTTATGTTAATTCCCATAACAGACGTAGACTTGTACAAGCTATGATAGACAACTCAACCAGCCAATGACAAATAAGGAAATGTAGTACCCCTTCCCATCTCCTCCACCCTATTCCCTCTCCCCTAACATGATGTTGTATGTTCCAAAATTCTGTCCCTGGGCGCAAAATTCTTTCACAGTCTTGTTTTGTGTGATCTAGGAGTGCTTCATAAGAGAGGAAGAATTGCATCTGGGTTTTGCTGTCCTTCCTCAGATATTCCTAGAGTACTGTGTCCCCTCTGCACTTTACCTTGTATTAAACTTACCTGGGGGCATGTTTATCTGTGTGTGTGTGTGTGTCTCTCTCTCTCTGTGTCTTTCTCTCTTTCTCTCTCTCTGTCTCATCTCTCCCCTTCCTCTCTTTCCTATCTCTCTTTCCCTCCCTCCTCCCTCTCTCTCTCCCATCCTCTCTCTCTTTTCTATCTCTCACTCTCTCCTCTCTCTCTCTCTCTCTCTCTCTCTCTCTCTCTCTCTCTCTCTGTGTCTCTCTCTCTGTCTCTCTCTCCCCCTCTTCTCTCTGTCTCTCTCTCCCCCTCTTCTCTCTGTCTCTCTCTCTTTTCTCTCTCTCCCTCCTCTTCTTCTCTCTCTCTATCTCTGTCTGTCTCTCTGTCTCTCTCTCTGCCTCTCTCATCTCCTCTTTCTTTCTCTCTGTGTGTGTCTGTCTTTTTCATGTACACACAGAGTCCTTAGACTACAAGTTTCTTAAGGGCTCAAACTATCTTTATTTGTTGTTCATATTTGTATCCTCAGCTCCCAGCATAGGCTAATATCCAGTAGATGATTTAAAAAAGGAAATGAGTAGGATTGTTATAGTCAGGAGAAGGATGCCAAATACAAAAATCAATTCCTTGCGTGGGTAGACTAGTTTGACTCATATAGAAGAGACTATTAAGTCCAGTACTAGAGAGATGATAGTACTGCTAGACCCTACTCTGGTCACAGCAAATAAAGCATTGTGTTCAGTTCTGGGTGCCATATTTTAGGAGGCACGTTAAAATGCTAGAGAGAGTCAGTAAGGTTGGTAAAGGGCAGTAATATCGTACTGTATAAAGATTAGTTGAAGGAAATGGGGGCCTTTGGCTTGAAGAGGAAAAGACTTATAGGGGGAGTGAGATATGCTATTTCTTGATATATATGAAGGGCTATCCTTTGGAATAGGACCTAGACTTTTTCTATTTGGTTCAAGAGGACAGAATTAGGAGAAATGAGTCAAAATTGCAAAGTGGCAAAGTGAGCCATAATGCATTGACAAACTCACCCATAATTAAAGCTATCCACAAAGAGAATGAGCTACCTTTGGAGGGAGAAGTTCCCCTCTCTCTGGAAAGCCTCAAGCAAAATACTTGTGGAGGAAATTGTCACAGGGATCCTCAGTCAGGAATAAATAGGCTGTTTAGGTTCTTTCTGAGACTGTGAGTGCAAATAAAGTACTTGGCTTGAAGCCGGAGGACTGGGTTGGACGTCTCATTCTGCTATTAAGCTGTATGACCTTGAGACAATCCAATCAACCTGTATGATTTTGACACTTCATCCTGATGTGCCTCCTCTTCCTCATCTACAAAGGTTACAATAGATGATCTCTAAGGTTTCTCAGAACTTTCAATCCTATAGTCTCAGTGAATGCCAGTCAGGGAGGAGCTAAATAGATGTAAGCTATAGGGTCTAGGAGTCTGGAGCAAAAAACTCACAGATACTAGGATAGTAACTTCTGGTCAATCATGCTTTGGGTCTGGATGCCTCAAAAAAACTAAGATCACTGAGATTTTCAAACATTAACTTAAAAAAAAGTTCTTGAAAAAGAGAGCTGTCTGCACACTGCCCGCCTTGTAATCTGCAAAAAAGGAAATGCCAGATGTAAATAATCCAAGGTGAAAATAATGTCATTCCACTACTTCTGCAGAAAGAAATTATTTCAACTTCACTCTTCCCTCTAAGAATGCTTCCTGTTGCCTAAGGCCACCTACCCCACAGACATTGCCAAGCATTTTGTAAACCTTATAGCCCTCTAGGAATGAGTTGCTATGGAAACAAGCTGTTCTATTACTTTCACAAGTTTTATTCCAAATTTTTATTTTTATGCACTAAAATAAGAAGTACAAGAGGCAGTATGGAATAGTGGATAAAGAACCAGTCTTGGAATTAAGTAGACCTGGGTTCACGTAGCACCCTGACACATACGGGGTAAGTCACTTACCTCTCAGTATTCTGGGCAACTCTCTGACTATAAATTGCAAAGAAAAGTTCCGAGATGCATTGGTAGAAAAGGGAAGGGGGAAGTTCTCGCATCGAGGTGCTTCCTATATCAATGAAATCCCTAATCTAATCCCTGTGATGAGAATTGTCTCCTTCTGATGGATCATTTAAAACATAAAGTAAAATACCAAATTCATTGGACTTCATCCTCTTTCCATTGAGAAATTTCACTTTCCACTTCAAATTTTCTCATCAAACAAAGTGCAAGGTTTGTCAGCCAATCAGTCAATAAACATTTATTAAGGGTCTACTACTTGCCAAGTATACTGTGCTAACCTCTGGGGATTTGGATTCAGAGGGCCTGGTTTTGAATCTCTGGTATCCCTTTTCCTACCTGTGTATCATTAAACAAGCCTGTTCACTTTTGACCACCTCTGTTTGCTCATCAGTAAAAGGAAGGGTCAATCTAGATGACCTCCAAAGTTCTATCCAGCTCCTGATCTATGGGGCATTTGTTCTGACAGTTCATATGCTCAGATATGAGAAGGCGTAGACAGTAGGAACGATTCAGCCTTTCCAACAGACCTTTCTGTCCTGTAGATTTTAGTCATCACTTTTGTTTCCTTTAATCAAGGCATGTGGCATTCCAAAGTTTCCAGAATTGTTACAATCTTTATTTTCCATTTTCATCTGAGTTCAGTTCTTTTCTGTGTCTTTGCATGTCAGTCCATAAATTATATGCCTGCTACTCAGTTGTGCTATTTCCCATTAAGGAGAACAGCACAACCTTAAATTAAAATCGCTTGAAACACAGTTGGTTTCTGGGCTCTTTGTCACATGCTTTGTACAGGACTTACCTTGCCATCATGCCAGATGCTTTCATTTCCCTCTGGATCCACATGATCCGTCTCCAAGGTGAGGTAGACCAGTCTCCGTTTCAGCCCCTTTTCTTTCATCTGTTTCAGTGCTTGCTTTCCTATGAAGTCTGCTGGCTGCAAGAATGCCAGATAATGATGATAAATGATTGTTCGGGCACTGTGACAAGGTTATCGATGCAAGCATTTAAATTTGTCTTTATGATTTTCTCGCCAATTAAACATTAAATAAAAATACAGATTAAATCAAAGGGCTGGGCAAATATTTCTCAGTCTTAAAATGACATTATCAGCTACTTTTCCCTCTCAAGAGCTGTTAGATTTAAGTCTAGTAATTTGTAGTGACAATTTTGCCAGCACTACAGAAAACAGGAAAACATAAGTCATTGTCTTGTGCTTGTAAGGTACTATGGTGACCCTTATGCCTAAGTACTTCAGCATGCAGAGCTAGACATTTTTGCTTAAGCTGCATCTCATTTTCCATCTGTATTAAGTAGATCACTAAGAATTCACTCTCTTAAAAGAATTCAAGAATAAATTGATTTAAATAAGCTACTTTGAAAAAATCTTCTAAACAATGGTCCCTAATGATTTCTTCTATTGTGTTAATATATAAATCATCACTGTAATATTTAAGATTTAATCAGAGCCCAAAGTGGGAAATAAGAAGTTAGAGAGGGCTTTCTTGTATGAAAAGCTCTCAAAAAGAGGCAATGTAGTATAAAAGAAAGTGTTTTGCATGGCTCAAAATAAGAGCTATAAGAAGATATTTCTATCTCATTGCTTTGCAGAGGTGGCAAGCCCACAAACTGTTGTTCATAGCCTGTATCTTCAGACTTTTTTTGATCAGTTATGGTGATTTTTCCTTTCTTATCTTTAAAATATTATTTTTGTATAATATGGCTTTCTGGGAGAGGAGAGGGAGTGATACTGGGAAAAATTATGATAATGTAAGGAAATCAAAATATATCAGTAAAAACTTAATTTCCAAAGAAGAAAGTGCTTTGGAATTAGAAGAACTAGATTAAAATCTCAGTTCTGTGATTTACTTGACTTACATGGCCTTGAAAGTTAATACATCAAAAAAGTCTGAAGATACATGCTATATACAGCACTTTTTATACAACATCCCATCTTCTAAGGCAGGGGTTCTTAATTTTTTACTGTTTATATATGTGTATGTATGTATATATGCATATATATATATTTCAATAGAATTGATTTATTTTCCTATCTTGTGTAATTTATTTGGGGCATCTAAAAGCATCATTCTAATTAAAAATTAGAATTAAGTAAGTGGAAGCTAATGACTCCATGAGGCAACAAGAAACAATCAAACAAATGAAAAAATAGAAGAAAATATGAAATATCTCATTGGAAAAACAACTGACTTGGAAAACAGATCCAGGAGAGATAATTTAAGAATTATTGGACTACCTGAAAGCTATGACCAAAATAAGAGCCTAGACATGATATTTCAAGAAATTATTAAGGAAAACTGTCCTAAGGTCTTAGAACCAGAGGGTAAAATAGTCTTTGAAAGAATTCACCAATCACCTCTTGAAAGAGATCCCAAAATGAAAATTCCTAGGAATATTAAAGCCAAATTCCAGAGCTCCCAGGTCAAGGAGAAAACACTACAAGCAACTAAAAAGAAACAGTTCAAATACCATAGAGCCACAGTTAGGATAACACAGGATTTAGCAGCTTCTACATTAAAGGATCAGAAAGCTTGGAATATGATATTCTGGAGGACAAAGGAGCTAGGATTACAACCAAGAATCACCTACCCAGCAAAACTGAGTATAATCCTTCAGGGGAAAAAATGGATATTTAATGAAATAGAGGACTTTCAAACAGTCCTGATGAAAAGACCAGACCTGAACAGAAAACTGGATTTTCAAATATAAGACTCCTGAAAAGCATAAAAAGGTAATTAGGAAAGAGAAATTGTAAGGGATTCAATAAGACTAAACTGTTTACATTCCTACATGGGAAGATGATACCAGACTACCAAATGGTCCTATAACACAAAAAAAGGCTAAGGGCCCCAATATTAAGGAATAATACCTTAAATCCTTATCAATTTGTATTTAATCAAGAATTAATTAGCACCTATGTGAGAACAACTCCCACTGGAACAGGATGTGGGCAAGATGGAAAAAGGGAGAAGTAGTTTGGGGGTAGGGTTAAATAAGAAATTGGAGAAGTTGGTACATATAATATCCACTAAAATTTGCCTGCTTTATGATATTACCAGAGATAGCCCTAAATGATAATATAAGGCGTCAACTAATCATCATGGAAAAATCGACCTTGACCTATGCTTAAAGCTCTGCATGCTCACCTCTCCTTAGCTGCCCACAGGATATCCCCCAGTTGGATCCCCTCTGATCTATCTCCTCTGCTTCAAGCTTTACCTGTCTAAAACTGAGCTCATATTTACCCTTAAACTTGGTCCTTCTTTTGACTTCACTATCAATGAGTAGGCGCTTTGTGACTCCTTATCCACTCAGAACAATATCACACGAGTCCCCGCTGATGTCATTGTTCAGTCATTTTTCAGTCGTATCTGATGTCTTATGATTCCATTTGGGTTTTTCTTGGCAAAGGTACTGGAGTGGTTTGCCATTTCCTTCTCCAGCTCATTTTACAGGTGAGGCAGTCCCGCACAACATATGGCCCACAGGCCACTTTAAGTCCATCAAAGGATTTTGGGCAGCCCTTGAAAAATGTCAGGTTGCCCCTGCATACTCTCCTGATTGTCATGTGACCCACAGCAGCCAGCCATCATCAGTCTGTCTCTAGTCTAACCTCTCTGCGGCTCAAAGAAGTTCAGCCTATTTTAATTTTGGCCCTTACCTACTGCCAAGTTGTGCAGGTCTGCATGAGGAAACACAACTATCTATCTCCCATGATTGAAAGCTTGGTATCTCCTTCTATAGTATGTTTTGGATTTCTCTCTTCCACTGTATTCCCACTTTCACCATCATATGACAAGTCCTTATTGTTGTTGTTCAGCTGTTTTAGTCAGGTCTGACTCTTTGTGACCCCATTTGAGGTTTTCTTGGCAGAGATACTGGAGCTCATTTTACAGTTAAGGAAACAGAGGCAAAAAGAGTGAAATGACTTGCCTAGGGTCACATAGCCAAATTTGAACTCAGAAAGATGAGTCTTCCTGATTCCAAGCCTGGCACTCTATCCACTGTACCACCTAGCTGCCCCAAGCCCTTATAACCTCTTCTTTGACTATTACAATAGCTTCCTAATCTTTCTTTCTGTATTGTTCCAATTCAATTCAGCTCAACAAACATTTATTAAATGCCAATTGTGTGTACCATGATGATATAAAAACAAGTCTATGGTGATACAAAAACAAGTAATCTCTGCCCTCGAGGACCTTACATTCTATATTCTTCATGTTGCTGCCAGACTACTCTGGTTATACCACTCCCTTGCTCAAAAATCTTTAATGGCTCCTAATTAATTAATTGAATAAATTTCAAACTTTACTATCCTTCAGTACTCTCCATGGTCTAGTACCCTTTTACCTATCCAGGCTTATTTCATACCACTCTCCAGCAAATCACCTGTCCTCTAGTCAAACATAAATACTCTGGTCCTTAAATATATCCTGCATTCTCTCATCTTCATTCCTTTGATCATGCTGTTTCCCAGCTTGGAATGTAAGTCAACTCAATTCCTTGAAATTTTATTAAGTACCCACTATATGTCACACGTCATATCCTTGGAATACAAAGTTCTTCCTCTCAGGATGCTTACATTCCACTGAAGGATATATATACATATATATATATACACACATATATATATGTATGTATATGTATATATATGTGTGTGTATGTATATACATACATCTATATACATATATGTATATGTATGTGTGTGTGTATAAATACATATATATATGTATATATGTATAAAAAACAGATAGGTTAAATACAAAATAACTGGAGGAGGGAGAGAGTACATCAGTAGATATCTCAGATGCAGGCAATGCTGATGCATGAGTTGGACTCAGAATTAACTAGAAGGAAGGAAGTGAGCTAGACCTCATTTGGAAAATTGTGCAGGGCTTTCAATGATTCTCAGCTACTCCCAGGCATGAAAAATCTGTCTTTTAAACACAAATGTGCTCCACTGGTTATCACTGATAAAGACTAAATGAGGAAAAGTACCACACCAGGTACTCAAGATAAGAGTTAGAGGGATCACAGTCTTGAAAGCATTGAAGGACCATTTTACAAGAGGTCCCAAGCAGGCGAATGTACCCTTTAAATACAAAAAAAAATCATGGAAGATTTTTTTTACTGCCAAAAGGGGAATATTCTTTTTTCGTACTGCTCTGTTCATTTTTAAAGCCCAAATCAAATGTCACCTCCATGAACAGTTTGCTGTGCTCTCAAATTAGTATCAACCTCTCCTTTCTGCCTCCATGGGCTTAACATAGGATTTTTTTTTTAATTCAATTTTTTTTAGTTCCAAATTTTCTCCCTCATTTTCTCCCACTCATTTAGAAGGCAAGAAAAAGAAAGCCTGTTACAAATATGAAAACTGAATTCTCACATTAGCCTTGTTGAAAGAAAAAAAACAAAGGGGTAGGGGAGAAAGGGAGGTAGGAGGAAAGAAGGAAGGAAAGAAGAAAAGAAGGAAAAGAGGGAAGGAGAAAGGGAGGGAGGGAGGAAGAAAGAAGGAAGAGAGGGAGGGAGGGAAGAAAATATACTTTAATCTGCACTCTAAGTCCACCATCAATTCTCTATGTGGAGGTGTTCAGCATGTTTTATCATGAGTTCTTTGGAATTCTTTTTAGTCATTGTGCTGAACAGAGTTCATAAGTCATTCAGAGTTGATTGTCCTTATAGTAGCATTATTGTATTGTTCTCCTGGTTCTGCTCACTTCACTTTGCATCACTTTATATATGTCTTCCCAGGTTTCTCGGAAACCATCCACTTCATTATTTCTTACAGGCAGCTACGTGGTGCAGTGGATAGAGTGCCCAGCCTGAATTAAAATCTGGCCTCAGACACTTACTAGCTGTTTGACCCTGGGCAAGTCATTTAACCCTGTTTGCCTCAGTTTCCCCATCTGTAAAATG